ATACATGAGCTGATAGAGGAATCATTTCTCTACAAGATACATGTTGGAACAGTGCAATATCTTTAAAAATGATGAAACCACACGTATTTCTTTTTCCGGGTTCGAATTGAAAAATGATTGGACCCGAAGGGCTCTACCCATGGGATTCCGGGTTGAGGAGCTACTAACGATCCCTAGTGTTGGAATCCGGTGAACATCCGACCAAATATAACAACCGAATTCGATAGGAATTTCGTGAGTTGGATTCCAACGAGGTTGCTAAAGAAACCTGTCGGGTTTTGACTGGTTCCTGCAAGAATCGATCGGATTCCAACACGAGGGATCCGTGAGTGGATCCGCAACCCGGATTTGCTTAGAATCATGCAGAAACAGACCAAAATCCGATCGAATCTGGTTAGATCCAGCTATCGGATTGTTTGTCTTGGGTAAATCTATGCCTTTCTTCGACACGAAAATACTATCTCTTCGCGATGATTTACTCGCGAAAGACAATGAACTTTTTAAAACAATGGAAGAACGTTTCAATCTCGTACAGGAATTGAATACAACCAAGGATTCTGCACATACGATTATTAAGTGTTTGAACATATCTCTCAAAGCATCTTCTCACGCCATTGCTCGCACCATCATAGAAATGATTGTTCGTGAACATGTACATTCTATGAATTTAGCTATTGAAAAACGAATGGATATGTTTCGTCGTGAAATGAATTATTCAGTGAGTAGTAAATCACCATTTCATTGTGATTAAAAAACTTTCTTCTAGAATCTCAGCTGGAATACCATTGATCTTGTTAAAGAAGCGAAGAAGAGAACATTTTGGAAGCCAATGACCGTGGAACAACAAAAAGATGCTGATCTTCTTGTCAAATAGCATTCACAGGAATCGAACAAGAAGAATTTTGTCCCAACAAAAGATATACTAAAACGTATGTGGAAAAAATTGAAACCTATGGACATTGTGACCACTCTCAAACATCTGAAGTACAGCTCGTTTTTTGATAAACATGAACAAATAGAAGTGAGTGAAAAAAAAAAGTAGTTTGAAGCATATTTTTTTTCTCATTTAATCTTTTTCATGGAAACGTGATTGATATTTTTTTTCTTTTTACAGAAATCATTTATTAATTTGTATAAAACATTGTCTGAAGCTGTACACAATTGTGACCTTTGCTATAAAGAAGAAGTGCTTCCAATTCCAAATCTTGTTGAAAATGTATTTAATAAATCGGACGCATTGGCACTTGGCAAGTTAAACAATTTCCTTCTTCATGTTTTCTTTTTCTTTGTAATCTAGCCACTTTTTATTCGATTACATTGTCGAACATGCCATATGAAATAGCGTCGAACGTTGCTGATCTACCTTCAAATTCATCGTATTGGCTCAGCAGTCTTGATTTGAAGAATTGCTCGAGCACTCCCACCACCATGATTCCTGCAGCTAATGAAAAATCGTTCAAGCGAAAAATGATTGAAAATGAAGAAAATGAAGGACATTAATATTGTGAAAGAGTTTTATCTGTGAAACAAATATTAAAATTTCTAGACTAAAGCATGGACATATATTTTCATGAGCATTTGTTAATTCAGGTAAACCTCTCCAATTATTTGAATAAAATAAATCCATTAATTGTGTTAATCATTTTTTGCAATGTTTCATTGTTTGTTTCAAAATATTTTGTTGTTGTGACCAATAACGTTTTGCTCGTATATAATAACCAGTTAACTATAACTATTCAGGACCATTATGATAATTAAACCTATGTGCTCGTTTATAATCATATTAATCATGATTATTAACATAATCACCAACATATTTATACTCACTTTTAGCAAATTATTTTATTTGTGTGATAAGAAAATAAGAAAATATTTTACGTGGAATCGAGAGTGTTAATTTCATATTTTCCTAAACGAATTGTTTCAACTTGTTTTAATGCTAACTATATGCGAGTTTTATCAAACATTTCCGGAGCCCTTTTAATAAAAAGATTTTTTTTAAATGAAATAAAATTTTGTACTTACAATAACCGCTGCAATAATAAAATTAGGTCTTAATTGAAAATCAGTCTATCTGAGAGATGAATTAATTGTATCTTTATAAATTTGTCTTCTATTAACATATTCCGATGAATTTGTTTCATCAATTTATTTAACCATTCTACAAAAAGTAATTTCATTTTTCCATCAATTTCTTTAAACAAAAAGAAGAAAATAAATATTTTCAAAATAAAATAAATAACTACCAGTAGATGTTTCAACAGAATCATATGGATAATGTCCTTCTTGATTCATTTGAAGAATCCAAGCAATAACAGTTCTAGATAATCCAACTAATTTAACAGCAGATCCATCTGTTGGTGTAGCTGGATGGCCTTTATTATTTGCTTTATCACTTGAACCCATATTATCGATCCATGCTTCAAACTTCCATCTGTTTCCTCCACAAACGAAACCAGTTTTAGTATCAATTCCAATTTTATTATTCAAACCTTCATCACTCATAACTGACTCTAATGAATGTCCAATTCCGCGTTTTCTAAAATTTCAAGATTGAGTACGACGAAGAAGAACTTCATGAATAGCATCACATAATAATTGATCACGTAATCCAGCTGATTGTGCAGGACTTCCTGTGTTGGATATAAATGTGAAACTTTATCTGATACAATTTAATAACCATCTGAAACTAAGCATGTATAAGATGATATTGAATTTAACCACCACCAAACAGCATCTCTTGCATTATATCATGCTGTTTTTCCATCAGCTAATAAATTAGGAATTAATCCATGACGAAGATATCCACCATATGATAAAATTAAATAACGAACTTCTTCATATCGATTAGATAGTTAAGGAAGAACATGTAATGAAATAAATATATGTTTGCCCCAATTTCTCCAAATTCCAGCAGTTAAAGACGGAGGTAATTGTATTTTTTCGAATGTTTGTTCATCAATTTGTTCAATTGGTTTTGATACACGTAAATTTGGTAATAATAATGGTAAACGAACATTTCTTACAATACTTATTAATTAAATTAATG